TACACGCGCTCTTCCGATCTCCCCAAAACCCCAAAACCCCTTCAATTTTATCAGAATTTAGAGTAAAAAGATTAAATATTTAATAAACGAAGAGCTATTAATCATTCAGCTAAATTAGATTTACTAGATTATTGATGGAACAGTTTTCTCTTTAATATCTTATTTTCCTATGAAAGTTCATCTACACTCTAAGTTAGACTCATGATTCTAGCTTGATAAGCTCTGAATATAATTTACACACGGTCTTTAATACCACTTAGATCCTTACTTTATGAATTAGTGAAGTGGAATGTAATTTCATTTTTATAATCCTGATCTTATGTCCCTTAATGGCCAATAAGACCATTAAATGTTGCTAGATCTTTATAAGAGTACTCATTAATTAGAGCAGTATGTTAGTTTGTAGTGCTTTTATTATTATTATTATTGCTCATAGACTTTTAGTCATTAATATTATTAGGGGACAAGACTCTATATCTAGGTGAGTCCAGAACTATCCTCATTGTTTAACTTAGTATCTTTTTACTTGATCTCTTTTTCTTCAAATGCTATTCATCTTTGATACTTTCCCTTTTTGAAAAAATAGAGGGCTTCCTCTTTTCAGTAAGAAGAGCTCCTTTTGATTTAGATAGGCTTGCAGTAGATAGATTTCTTTATCTGCTTTGAAATGAAGACATATCATTATGAGTGCCATAGCAAGTGAATTTTTGAATAGATAAGTGGTTTTGATTATCATTTAGATTAGTATAGCCATGTATTGAAGGATATTTTTTGGATGCTTTAATTGTTTAACGGGACTGATCTATAATATTTTGTGCTAGAGTTGGTGATGTAACTAGATTCTTGTCCTTTATATTTGTAGTTGATGGAAACATCCTTGAATGAGCAACTGAATTATTATTCAGAATTGAACTGTTCTTTTTATGGTCTACTGATCTCTTTTTCTTGTGGAATGTCTAATGAGATTAATGCTACTTTGACAAAGAATGAAGACTGACTTCTTTTCTAACTGTTTTAAAAGGGGCTTCACACTCTTAAATAATGATAATTGAATCCTTTGAATCATTGAGACTGTTAATGTCATTATTGTTTAATTATCTGGTTTCTCCATGATTTTTTGATAAATTTAGTTTTTTCTTCGAAGTAGATCTCGTTGCTGCTTGACTTTACTTTTATCCAGTGTAAAACCCAGCAGATCTTTGATTTTTAGCGGTCTTTCTTACTGGATTAGCTTTTATTTCAATAATTTGTTCTTCAATTGTATCGTCATCGATGTTTAGATGATGGTGCCTCATATTTTAGGTGTTGTGTAAGGTATTGTAAGGATTGTCATCTTGAGAACTCTCAATCATTGAGAATTTTAGATTTTTTTTTACTATAGGTTAACTTTGATCATCTTCAAACTAGTGGTTCCTATTTTTGTCTTTTTTCCTATCGCTATCAAGAAGCATGGTATAAGATAAGTTATAGTCTAGATGTCCACTTGAATCCTTGCAGAGCTAGGTGAACATTCCATTTTAAATCTAGCCTGAATAATTTGACTAATATAGATGATCTAAGGTCTGGTAGTAATTTAGCTTAGAATTAGCACTTGTTCTATAGTTCTAGCTATTTTTACTAATATCAAAGTCAAGTATTTCTGGCTATTTTAGAGTGCATTCCTAGGCATTAATGATAGAGTTAATGGGATCATTATCATTCTAGTCCTTGTAAATCTCTTAATTCTCTGAAAATTCTATCTGTTTAGATGATATTGATGACTTTGAAAAACTTTTTTTCTGCTTTCTCCTTTTTTCTGTCACAGAGGAGGAATTATTCAAGGACAGCTTATCTGAAAACTATGTAGCATTGTTTTCAATCATACCTATGCTATATCAATTTACAAAAACTCTTACTTAGTTTCAAATTCTGCTTCCCAATTGGCTTAGTTTGAACTTTCATTGATGATTGCTTGTGAATCTTTTCTTTTTTAACTTAAATATCAAGCTTTTGAGATGTAGTCCTCTCTAAACAATATTTAAACACAAAATGCCATTGAAACTTACAATGATTAGGAAGCTTATCTTTAGGAGTACTTTTCTTTTCTGGGTACAGCATTGATGATTATTAAGTTTTATGCTAAGTAATTTAGCTATTCTTCTGAGAACTTAGCAAAGAGGGCCTCTGATATGATATAGGTGTTGTAACTTTCGTTTCAACTATTTATTTAGCCTTATGTGTTAATGTTCTCCTTGGGGATGATAACTAAGCTGAAATAATTGTTGTTTTGTTAGTATTTTGAAAACTATCGGGGACAGAGGATCTTCCCTCAATTATGTCTTTTGATGGAGAAATTAATAAATGATCCTAATTCTCTAACTATTTAACTTAAGCTTTGCTAGAAGGTTGAACAAAGGACCCCTTATTGTTTTTTAAACTTCGTAACTGTTCCTTCTTCTAATAAAAACCTATATCAACTTTAAAAAGGTTTATTGCTACCAGTTGCTGGAGAGTTTTCAGATTTAGAAGAAGAGAGCTCCTTGATGGTATGCTAATTCATTTTAGTTTTATAAATAAAATTACTGCGAGCTATTATTGAGATTAAGAATTTTAATTTGCAATAGTATTTTCATTGATTCTCTATTCTATCATATAGTTGTTTCACGGGGTTTTGGGGTTTTGGGGTTTTGGGGTTTTGGGGTTTTGGGG